TGTCAGAATGAGCCAGTGGACATACAATGAAGAAGAACGCCCAACCAAAGCCATCATTGCAATTGACATTCACCCGATTCTATCCAGATCATATGGGTTAGGCACAGCAGTGTAAACATCGACACTGACTAGGAATCGTTCCACATTCCAGGTTACTGAGACAGTACAGCTCCCTCTAGCAAACCTAGGGCCATGTACATAGTGCTCATCCACCTTTCTGATGACGTCTGCCTCCGCGCACAAAGATGAGATGGGCATTGCTGCCTACACCGACGGCCTGGAGGCCCGCGCATCTGCACCTTTGTACCTGACGCACCAGTGCCGACCCAACTCCACCACTACGCACGCCTCGCGGCGGGTGCGCCGCAGCAAGAAGGTATCGGTCCCCTGAGGGTGAGTCTAGCCCTTCTCGCTAGAAAGACCCCCCCCTCGCTATGGGCCATGCCTACGCAAAACCTTGCCGAGGCAGCGAGGGGAAGGAAGGAAGTGCGTGGAAGTAAAACAAGGCGAGAGCAGCGAAACGGAGTGCGGAAGAAGGCAGCCGAGACGGCACGAACCAAAGCCGAGGGGGAGCGGCGACTGCGTCACGCGGCAACCTTAGCGACGGAAGACTTGCTCCCGTTCCAGCGCCAAAAGTAGATGTGGCTATCACACTCGCGACGCAATGCCACTTGAACGTCAGCAAATTGGGGAAGGGGAGGGTCGGATGCGATTTCTTTTTGGGTGCTGCGTTCTTTTTTCGTTTCAGTCACGCGCTCTTTTTTTGCAGTGCGGAGTTTTTCAGCATGTGTGCGAGCTTTTGTGCAACGCGCACATCCGCGCACGCGACGGTTAGAGCAGCTTTCGCTACCTTTCCAGCGCCAAAAGTAGCTGTGGATACCGCACCCGCGACGCAATGTCACTTGAACCTCGCACAAGTTGGGGAAGGGTGGGGTTGGATGCGATTCCTTTTCGATGTCAACTGAAAAAACAAAAAAACATGCGCGCATGCACCTCGGTGAATTTTTGGAGGTGCGTAGTTTTGTTGAGCATGTGTGCGAGCTTTTGTGCAACGCGCACATCCGCGCACGCGACGGCTAGAGCAGCTTTCGCTACCGTTCCAGCGCCAAAAGTAGCTGTGGATACCCCACTCGCGACGCAATGTCACTTGAACCTCGCACAAGTTGGGGAAGGGAGGGGTCGGATGCGATTCCTTTTCGATATCAACTTGAAAAAGCACACACGCACGCACGCGCACACACCGCGGTTGAATTTTTGGGATGGAGAGTCTTTCGCGCATCATACATCAACTTTTGTCCTACGCGCACAGCTTCTACCGCGACCGCTAGAGCAGCTTTTGCCAACGTTCCAGCGCCAAAAGTAGCTGTGGACACCCCACTCGCGACGCAGTGTGACTTGAACCTCGCCAAAGTTGGGGAAGGGTGGGGTTGGATACAAGTCCTTTCTGGTGTCAACTTGAAAAAATTCGATTTCTTCCAAGATTCCTTGGAAACAAAAAAATTCAGGGCTCCGCGTCATCGCCGCTCTCATCCTCCGACGTACAACTCAGATTCTCTGACGCCTCAGACTCAGACTCTTCAGACGACGACAGCTCCATCACGCTCTTATCAACCCACTTGCTGCCATGCTTTGATTTCTCACTCTTGTCTTTCAATACTTTCTCCAGCCTCTCGTTCGGAACTGCGTGAGAGGCACTCTTTTTCAACGCCCTCGCAACGGAGGAGGAGGAGGTGCAGCAGCCGTGGGTTGGGCCTGACCCTCACCGGCGTCGTCGGCCATTTCCGTGGCGACGGTCCGCGGGGGGGTGGTCCTCGTCCAGTTGGGCGGAGCACCGCACCATACACTTGAAATGCGGCTGCTGTGGTGTGTGCTCTCTACTCGAAACCACACCCACGCCCCAAAAAAAACAACTATAAAAAACACGCTCGAACACAGATGGTTGTGGCCTGTTTGCCTGAAAGTTGACTCGATTGTCAAAATTGGTGGGTTTTCATTGGTCGAAAAATATCCACGAAAGAATTAAAGTCTGTTCAAATGTAGGCCCGTGTGACAGAAAATCGGCCCAAAAAGAGGGTCAGGCGCAAGCCTAACAGTACAACTTACCGCAGTAGTAGAAGCGAGACCGTCAGCAGTGCCGGCCCGCTCATGAGCTAAGAGCTTGGGCTAGGTTAAACACCTTGCCGCAGCCATGTGAGCTGTGCGTCTTGTCCTCCTTGCTTTTTTTTGCCAGCCAGTTCTGCGAAGACAGCACAACAGATCGAAGAGTGCATGCACACCCCTTTGAACACGAAGCTTGCATCCCAGCATGTCTACTGCAGAAGCAGGCATTACAAGACCCTCTGCAAGCACCGACAGCAGTAGTCTATCTTTCCCAAATGAAAACCCACCCGATCTATTGCATTTATCCTTATTCCCGATACGTTGAGAATTCGCGTATGTTTCGGTGCCGACGTGCCGCTTATCGCAACCGTCGATCCGCTCAACACCTAATCTCCCACGGATGCTTTCGCCTCGTCCACACTGCTCGAATCTAGGGGCAACTTCGCGCTAGTGGTCCTTTGATGGGGTATCAACACCACGCCGTATGCGTCGCAAATATATATGGTCAGGGCAGCCACCTGACGACTGATCTGCCCCAAAATCCACCCCTAAACCAAGCCTCAAGAACATTCAAAAACAATGCGCAATCTAGCTCGCTGAGAGGGAGCCCCGAAGACAAATCCGTCCGGAAGCTGCATCGCTATCAAGCTTTGACTAGGGGTCAAAAGCCGTTTCTTCCCATGTCCAACCTCAAATCCTTACGTTTCTTTAGTAGCAGCAGTATCCACGCAGTCCCTTCTGAGAAACTAAAGATCTGTGAAGGCCGGCTTGCGGTACATCGGCAACCTTGTCGTGGTCCTTTATTTTTTGTCGTCAACGTTCAACTGCAACCTTCAGCAGCAGGTTGTCTGTTGCTTACCTCCTGTGTACCGCGGTTTTGTTTACACAGCGCGAGTTATTCGTACTTGTACAGCAGTAGTTTCAGAATGTATAGTTGGTAACGCTCATTGAGGCGGGCACAGGGTGCAGGCTTGTATGGAAAAGTAAATACGTTGTACATCGTTGAGACAGGTCCATGCAGTTGCTGACGTCTTCCGCTCCTGTATGTTTTTCGTGCCCCTTTCCTCCCCTTGCTCTATCCGTGCACCAGGTAGTCTCGCTCAGCATTGAGTGAGTATCCAAATGGCACCGCGGCGCTGGCGGGAAGCCGGCCGCGACCCAAGCCTCACTTGACAAACCTGTTCATCTTTAGGTGGGCCATATGCATAGAGCGGCACAGGTGGTTTCATGCAGTCCAGATTGCGATACAACTTCGGATGATCGTGATCTTGTTGAGAGATACACGAGCATGTGTGCTGCTGGGAGCGCCATATGTGCTACTGAAGTGTTTGTTGAGTTTCTGCATTTTTTTCACCGCGCATATCGATGGCACAACGGCCGGACACACTTCTTCCAACTGTCCGCGGTCCAACCATGGCACCACAACGGGCCGTAGAGAAGTTTGACGCTGAGGTATGTTCACTTTTGCCTTTTGGGCTCTGATGAAAATGCTGAATCGAAAATCACATGGTATGTTCTCGCGTTGGATGACAGGTATTTTTACAACCGAGCGCTGGACATCAAGACCGAGTCGAAGGCTGATTCGGCGGTTCCTCTCCGTCGAACAGCTTCCCAACCTATGGTGTGCCAGGGCAGTGTTTGAAGACGTGGTGTTAATCCTGCGCGATGTACCGGCGATTCAATGCGAACCTCTCGGTGGTCACTGGCAGCCATCTTGCATCGCTGCGGAAAACTGTTGTGACGACCGGAAGACGTAAACGCTTGGTTGACGCACAGACACATTCGGAGATCTAGGGTTCGTTTTCCATGCTTATTCCTTGCTATTTCAGCGAGCGCCTACTCGGCGAGCAACTGCTGTTGTGTCCGGTTGGAAGATGGAAACGCCTTGTGTGTAGGTTACAGCGGTAGCAGCCGGTGACTGGGGTAATGCCGAATGCGAAGGTGGGGATGAGGGGATAGAAGTACCATCCGTGCTATGGAGGCTGAACATGTGTCATTTTCGCAGGGGCGTGCAAACCATGTGGGCACCATAACAGCAGTAAATAGGAGTGCCTGGCAGCAGTACGTAAGCACGTAGCAGTAATGGGAGAGAACTACATAATAGTGTTGGCAAACTCGCTGTCGCTGAAATTCCAATTGTTGTTTCCCAAAGCGGTTTTGGGGGTAAGCGGCAACGGCCGATGCTAGCCCTGATCGGGTTGTGGTGCAGGTGTAGCAGAATCAACCTACAGAGACGCGATGCTGCCGTGTGTTTCGTAGAGATCTGAATGTAGAACAACACATGGCTTGAAAAACAAGTATGAATGTACACGCATCGGTCCTTCTCGTAAGATGCCCAATGTAGAGCAAGAAACTACTTTGAAATCGAGCTCGATTTGAAAGAGATGTGTAGACGACGTACGACAGACGCACGCAAGAAAAAGCAAACAAGGTGGTATCTTCCGTACAATCAAAAGCAAAAGCCTTTTATTAGTGCACTCCCTCGGCCGCAATTCCTTGTACATTCCGATTTACATGCATTAGTCCTCCTCGCAAAGTGCCAGGGAATGCAGAGCAAAAAACGCTTTTGATATCGAGCTCGATTTGAGCGAAAGACTGTTAACAGTCAAAACAACAGGGCACAAAGAGGAGAAAGGAGGGTTCAGCCCAAACGCCTCTTCGTATTTTTTTCACGCTTCGCGCGAAATCAATATAACTCGTTCCCGCTTTGCCCTATCACTACCAGTGGTCGCTGAGCCAATCTCCGATCTTGCATGATGTGGAATCTTGTGTTTGGTCGTATCTGTCGTGGATATCGTGATATCGACCTAGTGTTCTCGAGGCCGAGCGAGCTGTAGAGCGGGTCAGCCATAAGCTAGACACAACTCGATGACCAGGAAGAAGCACGCCTCTTATTGTCGATGGAACCTTCAGACCGCGAAGTTACGTCTGCTGTTCATGCTCAGCGGGTTGTGCGCGGTTTCCTCGGACGACTCGCAGGTAAAGGCGTGTCACCGTGCGTAACTCTGACGGTGATGCTTGTTTCCTCGCCTTGTAAGGTCGGTTTGGGTGACGCTGACTTCTTCCTCGCCCTCCGTTGCGCCACTACGTGTGTGTACCCCTCGGCGGTATTTCCCGACGAATCTTGGGCAGCAATTCGACAAGCGAATTTGGTGTATGAGAAGATCTTCGATCCGAGGACCCACGCTTACTACTACTACAATACCTGCAGCTTCGAAACAACATGGCATGTGAGACGTCCCTGAACTAGAATGCCCAAGTCAAGCATACCTCCGATTCATTTGGGTTCCTACTTCGTAAAGTCTACGGATTTGGAAATTGGAAACTTGGAAGCGAAATAGCTGGATGCCACATGTAAGAAGGCACATGTCCTGTTCATCCGAGGAGCTAAGCAACACACAACGGCCAAGTCGTTGTTGGCAGCATCCAACCACGGGGTCACAGGTTGAATTTGTCTGTGTATTCCATGTACTTCATTGCCCGTATGCTTCACAGCAGTGGTGGGCAAGATGAGCTCCTATTGCCGTTGCTCTCTTCTCAGGACCTTGCACACTGCAACTGTAGTCTGTACACACTACACCCACACACCCACAGCTAATTTTTGACCTCAGTGCAGCTTCACGGGCATGTCTTGACACCGAGTCCTTTTGCTCGGGCCACGCTAGCCACCTGCGGTGGTAACTCGTATCCTAGGCGAGTTCGGAGACTTGGATGCCATAGCTCCGACGTACACGGAAGAAGAGGCGGCTGTCATGTTGCAGGTAGGAGGAGTAGTCTGCTGTAGACTACCATTCGTGGACCAACGTATTGCGCAAGATATCAAGCAGTATCACCTTCGTCCACGCATCTGTTCTGAGCGTCAGTTTACAACGTTCGACATGCCATAGACGCACCAGCCGGGCGGGTTACACAGGGAAAACGAAAACACGAAAGTATTTTCTTGGAAAAGGGTTCCGCAATCTCTTCCCCTCTTATTCTGTGTGCACTCACGACGATGCGCTCGTCAAATGTTGTCTACACTGCATGCCTTTGGACTTCGTTCATGTCGTAAGATTCGTCATTTATCTCCGACAACGTGTGGTAGTGCAGCTGTTGACTTCTGAGGTGCGTGTTGTACCTGACTATGAGTTAGCAAAGCTTGCATCACAGCACAGTACGTGGTCTAGCCTTTCCCTGTCCACCCTCTCTCTGTGTGTCACTCTGTTTCGCATCTTCGCCATCTCTGCAGCCTTCCGTTCCCCCTTCTGGGTGTAGGAGTCATTTCCTCAATTAATTTCTCGGAGATCTCGCACTACCACGGGCGTTTCCGCACGCATTTGTTCTCCTGAAAAAATAATGACGGAATAGTGTATTGGATAACCCTATCAATACTCTGGTCGATTCTTCAGCACAGGATCATCGCACACTAACAGGCGCTCATGTGTGTCCTATCTGCGACCAACTTGCTAAAAAAAATGGACAATCCAGGCAGCTTGGCGGCGGCGGCGAGGTCTCCGTATGACTCGCGCTTTGTTGGCCTCCGTGGTAAGCAAGGTGCTCGATGAATCCACTGGTGCACACTACTACTTCAACGGTCTCAGTGGCGAGACATCTTGGTCCAAGCCCGCCCTCTTTGGTGCCGAGGTAAATGACGTCAACATGAAAAAAGAAGGTTAGAACGAGCGCAACAAATAAATCAGCAGTAGTGGCATACATTGATGAACTAGGCGCGCCACGAATACTAATACTCGCTCTGCGTCAACAACCCACTTAACTTGTTTCCAAGCTTGACCTTCCTCCCACGACAGTGGTTTGAGGACACAACCGGAGCTGCTCTTCCAAAAGACGTCTCGCGATTGTACCCCTTTGATGATGGCTTCCAACACCCTTACGACATTTGATCATATGCGGCTCACTTGCACGCTGCCAACAGGATGTCGAGGACTATCCGTCAGCCATGTTGCTTGCGGAAGGGCAAAACACCGCGGAACCTTTCGGCACAGGGATCTATGACTACGATCAATCTCAGGTACTTCAACAGGTCCATGTCCCCTTGCACCAGTATTCTGTGTTCCCAATTGCAGAATCGTTGAGACGACGAAGGCTATCTTGTGGTCTCTGTTCTTCACCCTCACCGTGACCAGAGTTGGGTGCAAGAACGGATTCACGTGTGGATAAGATGTTTGTAGCCATTGCCGTAAACAACGGTACCAATACCTCTCCGGGTGGAGTTGTGGCATGCACATACTAAGTTCGTAGTACAAGTTATTCAGCCAACCATCGAGTGAAAAAATGGCCTATCATACGTTGTTGCATTTTTTGGGTAAAGCCCCTTGGCCACGGAAGATAACTGCCGAACTTCGACCCGGATACACTTTCCAGGTACAAAGTAAAGATCGGGACAGTTTCCATTGTGCAGACAACAAGAATAATTAACAGGAGACCTCTCGTGAGGAGTCCCCTATGAGACGGTCAAGACGGTCATGAGAGCCTTCCGGGCGCTCATGAACCATCGAAACGATGAGGTGTCCCATTGCCGTTCTATCTGCCATACCAGTGATCATGTTTAATCTAAAGGCTGGATCCGCCCCTCGGCCACACACCATATTCTCCAAAAACTCGATTGGTTCTGCTCAAATGCGAAAGAGTGTTACGTAGTCTAAAGTTGAGGCGTATAACGCACGACACTCATCTTTGTGACAATGACACCAAGTCGAGATCTCGCCTTCCGACGATTTTTCTATCGTCTTTCTTGCGGGTTGACAAACTAGGGGTGGGTGGGACAAGAAGCTTGGACCAAAGAGCAAAAGGAGCAGGAACAGCAACATCATCAACAACACGCGGGCGTTAGCGACGGTGATGCCAACACCGCCGAAGAGGCAGGCTACGAGGGGTGGGTATGGGACGACACCTCCGGCTGGTATTACGACGAAGACCTGGCGACACAACTCCTCACCGGGGGCGTAGACGTCGTTTCCAAGAAAGGGTCAGATGACGGCAACGTTACCGCTTCAGTGGAAGTCGAAAGCGAAAGCGAAAGCGACACTGATAGCGACAGTGAGGAGGATGGTACCGACGAGCAAGCTGGTGAGGGAAAGAAACAAAGGCGAAAACGGAGGCGTCGAAGCATAGCCCCCAGAAACTTCCCCAGGTCGAAGGCCCAACGCTTGGTCGACGAAGCGGAGGACAGCGTAGACGGAGCGCGGCCCGAAATCTTGGACCTAAGCAAGTTGGACATGGATAGAGTTACTTCAAGGGTCTACAGACTGGACTGGTTGCAAAGGTTGGATCTGTCCAACAACCGACTCTACAGGATTTCTTCCGATCTTGCTGGCATGGAGAACCTTGTCGACGTTAACTTTCGGCATAACAGGTGGGTGAGAGAAGTTTCGCAGGCCAGGTTTATTCGCACGAGCCCTTTAAACACACGCCCATCGGACCAGCAGATACGGGCACGAAGGGGTGTTTGGTTCCTCCTCACGGCCACACATTCCGAGGGTTGTCGGTAACAAGGCGGAGAAGATGCTGTGTGGTGGGTTTCAACCACTTGTGAAACAAACATGAGCTTGCTTGTTCGTGATGGGAAATATTTCGCGAGCGATTTGAAACATACACATTGCTGCTTGCCAAATCATCGACTGCAATCTATGTACGTGGTTCGGTACCGAAAAATAAGCTCGTGAACGCTTTCCTTCGTCTTCCTGTACTCTCATGCTCGGAATGATTGATTGTGATATTTCGATCAAATTGAGACGTGAATAATTCCCTTGTTCTATTGTTTGGGGGCGGCATAGAATCCAGGCCATTCCAGATGAGTTGGAAGCGCTGACGAAGCTCAAGCACCTGCAACTGGGGCACAACCGAATTTCCGGCTTCAGAGGCAACCTCTACCTCATCAGTTCGCTTGAGACCCTCGATCTGGGGCACAATAGGTAATAATGTGGTAGCTATTTCTCTCGCACGAGCAAAGGAGCCATAAGCTGCACCTGAAGGCACCGTGGCAGGCCTCGCGAAATAAATGCTTGGATCAAATTATGGTCAAACCCACCGTTGCCCCCTCAACAGCGCTACAGGTACATTGCAGTCTCTAACAGCCGGCTACACCATGGTCTTGTGGGATGAAATAAACGTTGTATGGCTCACTCCAACTGTTCAACTTTCATGTCGTCTCTGCAGGCTGAAGGAGGTACCGCTCCAAGTAGGAGACTTGCAGCTGCTCAAGAGGACGCGCGAGTGGGAGGTAGGACGACAAAGTCCATAATGATCCTCTTGTGGGGGGGGGGGGG